GAGGTCAAAGGGCAAACTACAACTCCAAAATCAAAAGACACAGGCAAATCCAGAGAGTCACAGTTGAGATCTACCCACCTGGAGCAAAGCTGTTGGTAGAAACACTTCAATGGTGACTTTGAGGAATTACTAGAGGCTGAGCGTGGATGAGCATGACAGTGAAAAAGTCCTAGAAGCAGCAGTTTTAAGGCAAACTCCTCTTATTTTAATGAACTTTACATCCAGGAACCCCACCAGGTTCTCATAGTGAAGAACTAACAAAAATCCCTTTGTGGTTCTGGTAAGGGTGTGGGGGGCAATAATTGTGAAATATGCCTGTACTCTACTCAAAGGCAGACTCTCCAGGAGTAAAGATTTTAACAGAGTTTTATCCCACCTGGCAGATGGGCATTTCTCCCATTCTAGCCCCCTCTAGCTAAGGGGGAAAACCTTTGTGAAGGTCATAGCCAGGGACACAGGCTCATAAAAGACTAAGACTTAATCATTAGACTATAGAAAGTTTATCTTCCCTCACACCTTACCATCACACCAACAGGGTTCCAGTATAATAACAAAGGAGAACAGCTGAAAGGGCTACAAGGTGCAGACTCTCTCTGAAGACAGAAACCCAAAGTCAACAGAGATGAGAACACTAGAAGAATTTGAAGCCTCTGGCACCTACAGCCACAGCAAACATTAAATACAGCTCAACTTCTAGCCAGACTAAAACCTTACACATATGCCTATTTACCCACTATCGGATACAACATATCTGGCTTTCAACAAAAAAATTACAAGGTATGCTAAAAGGCAAGAAAAGACATAGTCTGAAGAGACAGAGCAAGCATCAGAACCAGACTCAGATATTTTACATTGATGCTGGAATTAACCAGACAGGGAATTTAAAATAACTGATTAACAGTTAAGGTCTCTAATGGGAAAAGTAGGCAATATCCAAGAAAAGATGGGTAATATAATCAGAGAGGTGGACACTCTAAGAAAGAATCGAAAGGAAATTCAGGTATAAAAAACACATAAGAAAAACGAATGCCTTTGATGGACTAATTAGTAGACCAGATATGGTTGAAGAAAGATTCAGTAAGCTTAAAGACCAGTCAATAGAAACTTCCCAAAATGAGCGCCTGAGCGGTCACTCAGTTGAGTGTCTGCCTTCAGCTCAGGTCATGATCTCAAGGTTCTGGGATTGAGCCCCACATTGGGCTCCCTGCTTGGCAGGGAGTCTGCTTCTCCCTCTCCCTCTACCCCTTCCCCCTCTGCTTGTGTTCTCTCTCAAATAAATACTCATGTACTCTCTCTCTCTCATTCTCACTCTCTCAAAATAAATAAATCTTTAAAAAAAAATCTTTAAAAAAAAAAAAAGAAAAGAAACTTCCCCAAATAAAATGAAGAGAGGAAAAAAACAGTAATAAAAAGAACATACAGAACATTCAGGAACTATGGAGCAATTTCAAAAGGTGTAACATATACATAACTGGAATATGAAAAGGAAAAGAAATAAGAAGAAATATTATAAGTAATAATGGCTGAGAATTTTCCAAAGTTAAGGATACACACCAAATCAGGAAGCTCAGAACACCAGGCAATATAAATTCTAAACACCTATACATAGGCACATCTTATTAAAACTGTAGAAAATGAAAGACAAAGGAAAAAGCCTAAAAGAAGTCAGGGGGGAAAAAAACACCTTACCTATAGAACAACAATGTTAAGAACTACAGTAGACTTCTCATCAGAAATCACATAAAAAGATATCAGAGTGAAACCTTTAAAGTGTTACAGAGAAAAAAACCCCACCAATCTAGAAACCATATTCAGTGTTACTATCTCTCAAAAGTGAACGAGAAATAAAGACTTTCTTAAACTAATAAAAACTGAGAAATTCATAGCCAGGAGACCTACCCTGCAAAAATATATTAAAAGAAGTTCTTCAGGGCACACCTGAGTGGCTCAGTCAGTTAAGTGTCCGACTCTTGATTTCGGGTCAGGTCATGATCTCAAGGTCATGAGATGGAGCCACACATTGGGAGTGGAGCCTGCTTAAGATTCTCTCTCTCCCTCTGCCCCTCCCCCACCACACTCATGCTCTCTCACTCAGAAAGAAAAAAACAGTTCTCAGGCAGAAGAAAATTATATAGGTCAGAAACTCACATATACATAAAGAGAAATGGAGAAGGAATAAAGCTAAAACTACATCTTTTATTATTCTTCTTCATCTAAAAGGTAATGCTTTAAAGTAATAATAGTAATGTATTATGTGATTATCATATATGGATAAATGAAATGAATGATAACAACATCATCAGGGAAGGGAGGAAGGAATTGGGAGTATTCTGTTGTATGTACCTTCATGACACATAAAGTGGGATAACATTTTTTTGAAAGTGAATTTAGATTAAAAATGTTTACTGCCTGATTTTTTGATATGACACCAAAAGCACAGGCAACAAAAGCAAAAACAGGTGGACTCCATCAAACTAAACAGCTTCTATACAGTAAAGAAAACTATCAACAAAATGAAAAGGCAACCTACGGAATGGGAGAAAATATTTGTAAACCTTATAGCTGACAAGGGGTTAATATTCAAAATATATAAGGAACTCATACAACTTAACAGCACAAACACAAATAATCCCATTAAAACGGGTGAAGGACCTGAACAGATATTCTTCCAAAGAAGACAGACCAATGGCCAACAGGTACATGAAAAGTAGCTCAACATCACTAACCATCAAGGAAATGCAAATCAAAACCACAGTGAGATAACAACTAACATCTGTTAGAATGACTATCATCAAAAAGACTAGAAATAAGAGTTGGCAAGAGTATGAAGAAAAGGAACCCTCGCACCCTGTTGGTGTGAATGCAAATTCATACAGCCATTATGGAAAACAGTACGAAGATTCCTCAGAAATTCTTAAATGGAGCTAGTATATGATCCAGCAATCCCACTCCTGGATATATGTAAGAAATGAAATCAGTATCTCAAAGAGGTATCTGCAGTTTCATGTTCATTGCAGCATTACTCACAAGAGCCAAGATATTGAAAGACTTTAAGCGTCCATCAATAGATGAATGGATAAAGGAAATACGATGTGTGTGTATACTGAAATATTATTTAATCATAAAAAGAAAGTAAGTCTTGTCATTTGTGACTAAATGGATGAACACGGAGGACATTATGCTAAGTGAAATTAAGCTAGACACAGAAAGACAAATACTGTATGATCTCATATGTAGAATCTAAAAAAGCTGAACTCATTGAAGCAAAATAGAATAGTGGCTGTCAGAGGCTGGAGGGTGGAAAAATGAGGAGATGGTGATCAAAGGAAGGGTATAAATTTTCAGTTGTAAGATCAATAAGCTCTGGGAATCTAATGTACAGGATGGTGACCATACTTAATAATACTGTATTGTATACTTGAAATTTGCTAAGAGTATTAAAAAGTGCTCTCACCACAAAAAAATAAAATAGTATTATGTGAGGTAATGAATGTGTTAACTAGTTTGTGATAATCATTTCATAATGTATACACAAATCATCAGGTTGTACACCTTAAATATATACAATTTTTATTTGTTAATTATATCTCAGTAAAGTTGGGGGGTTAAGTCAAAAATGTATATGGCAAACTTTAGGGTAATCACTTGAAAAAATTTAAGAAATATAACTGATAGGCTAAAAGGAACAAGAAAATGGAATTATATAAAATGCTCAATTAAAAGAGGGGAGAAAAAGCAAAAAAACAAATGAAACATACAGAAAACTACAGTAACAACCTCCTTGTTGGAGTTGGGCATTGTGGAAGCAGTATAATAGGAAAACATCAGTAATGAATTAAAATGAAAGAAACAATCATCCAGAATGAAACAAGGGAAAATATGAAAGGAAAACTGGCCATTAGTAAAACAGGTAATAAACCAAAGTAGGGGGAAGCCATCAACCTCCTCCACCCAAAGATAACTTTATTTTTTCTCATAAACCTAAATATAAAGTCCAAGATATGAGACTATGGTAACAAAGAGGTTAAAAATAAACAAACAGAAAGAAAATGTGGGATTGTCACAAACAGGGGAGTTTGGAATATTAATGAATAATATTACTCTTGATAGTTACCACTCTGTTTTATAATCCTAAATACATATAAGGAGCTTCATCTTCGATAGTCAGGTATTATATAGAAAACTGCCTCCACCTTTTCAGTGAGGAAAAAAAAGCCAGCTAAAATGTGAATTGGTCATAATCAGAATCCGTAATCTCATAAACAGAATTCTCCTACTTATTCACAAGTAACTTTAAGATACTAGATTTTCTTTCTTTCTTTAGCCTAAAAACATGACTTTACTTTTGACATACCCTAGAGGAAGGTTCACTATAAGGGTATCATGTTGAATACACCCAATATATGGAAAGAGAACAAGACTTAAAGTGTTGAGACTAGGCTGCACCCTTTCTTATTAGTCATCAATATCAACTGGCCTCAGTTAACGTAACTGCTCAAAAGTCTAGCTCCAATTCTCACAGAGTTGGTAGCTCAGAGATTAGAAATATGAAAGTGTTCTGAAAACTACAAACTGCCATATAAATCTTAGAGGGAAATAAATCAAAGAAACGGAAAATAAATATCTGTACCACATCCTAATATTCACCAGTATGGGTGACTATCATTGCTAAATTAATCTCCTTCTAGGAAGCTCAATGCTAATGGAAGGAATATATCAGAAAATGAAGATTTTTACATGTGGTCTTATACTTTGTCCATAAAGGAGGTGCATTTTTTAATCTTTCTCTAAACTGTCAATTTTCTAAGAGTTTGAGGATGCTCAGTAGTAAAATAAAAGAGGACAAGAACATTAAGAGAACTAATGAAGGTATAAATGATATTTTGAACTGTGGGGGATTATTACATCATTGGTAATTTATTACACATTGAACACTGCAGAGCTCTCTACTATGTTCTTATTTAAAGCAAAGTAAGAAAAGTGGAAAAATTTTCTTTAACCTTTTTCAGTTGTGATTCCATTTTCAGACACTCCTCCTTCTTCTGTTCCAAAGCAATCTCCAGTGTCTTAAGCCGTGAGTCCTTTTTCAGTCCTGAGGAAGCCAGGGAAGAAGCATGCTCTTTCAGATCCAAGAGTGAAGCCTGAAAGAAGCAACACACATCTAGAATAAATACTAAGTACAAACAAAATGGAAATGTAAATTTTAAAATTTATTATCTTGGTGGCTTGTAGTTTCTATTTATTACTATATACTGACAATTCCATTTCAAGAACATTCATGAAATATAAAACAATGTCAGCTTCAGCTTTCAAGTCCTAACTAAATTAAGTCGAATTCCCAAGAAATACCAACTGAATTGACTTAAAAGAGTTCTATCAATACATATCCATTCCCATAAAATAAATGAAGTAGATCAAGCTTCATGAATGAAACTAGTCACTAGCAGTAGTACTCACTACTAGTTACTGTAGTAGCTACACTGACGTAAATATAAAATACTTTTCCCTTTTAGAAGGAAAGTTCCACCAGAAACTTAAATTCCCATAAATTGCCTTAAAGATACTAGAAAGAAAATCCGAGAGTGTCCCTAAAGCCCTGGCATTATAACATGATCACAAGGCAGTATTTTTACTATTTGCGTCACATTAACAGGATCTTTCAAAAGCAAGACCAAAATATACTAAGTCACCTAATTGGTCAGCAATCACTTAAGATTTCTCTGTCAATACTGAGATGCATTTTAAGAGATACTGTAAATAAGCAGCCCTCCATCTGCATATTCTTTTATCTATCACCTTTCTTACCATTAGCACAGTATTTTTCCATGTATAATGCGTCAGTTATTTTAGGATCTATAAAAATGTCATTAACAAGTAAGAAACCAACTCATAACATATTGAAAAAGCTAAAGACTTGGGAAATGAATGATCCAATATCTATTATGTCTCTGCAAAGCTTCCCAAAATACCCCTTAACATCTTCTGAAAAGGCCTGCTATAAGAATATTAAGAAAATCTTCCATCAAATACATTTTTATATGCATTATGTAAACACCAACAACATATACATACAATGCACTAAGCAAACCAAATCATTCTATTTTGGTGATCTTAACCTCTTTTTCTGAGAGGTCGCCTTGCAGTAAGCTGACTTTTTCTTTCAAGTCTTTAAGATCTTTTTTGTAGTTATCAATTTCCTCTTGCTTCTCTCGTTCATCTCTGTCCCGCTGCTCCTTTAAGCGTTCAATTGTCCGCTCCTGATGAGAGAACACATCAATATGTAAGAAAATTCCTTTCATACTTATGATCATATGACTCTAATTCAGCTTTTAACTGATAAATTTCACACTTTCATGCTCCATTCAAAAGACAGTGATAAGTTGTTAATAATCTACTTTTCAAGGAATTCATTCTTCCTACCTCTCTTGCAATAACAAAGATGTGGCTTTGTTCTTTTGATTCCCCTAGGTTTCTTTTCCTATAATCTCAAATAGTATTAGAAGTCCTTAAAGTATTCTTTTGGAATAATCCCCTTTATTCAATTCCCAAGTATCCAAAAACTTTACACACATACAGCCCTAAGGGTGATAAGTAACAAATATTTCTTTTTTATATGTAATTCACATGTTGCCCACAAGGCAATGGAAACAACTCAAAATTCACATACAAAAAAGGAAGAGATCTGGGAGATTAGGATATGTTGAGCTTAGAGCATAAAAAAGTGGAGGGAAAAGAGAGAATCCATTAAAACTTCTGTCAACAGATACTCAGGAAGTCTAAAAGTTGAAGCAATTTAAGTATATTTCTGGTTATTATTTCTGACTGTATTCAGGGATCAGGCCTTGATCCCTGGCACATTGCCTGAAGCATTATGAGTCCAAGAGGCTTAAGGAACAGGGACCCTATTCCTTTAAAAAAAAAAAAATCTTATTAAGGGGAACCTGGGTGGCTCAGTCAGTCAAGCGGCTGCCTTCAGCTCAGATCATGATCCCAGGATCCTGGGATCGAGCCCCACTTCAGGCGGGAGCCTGCTTCTCCTTCTCCTTCTGCCTGCCTCTCTGCCTACTTGTGCCTTCTATCTCTCTGTCAAATAAATAAATAAAATCTTTTTTAAAAACCCTATGAAAATGCCCCACCAAGATTCCTTAAACCTCCTTCCAAGACATTGGGTGGGCCACTTCTTTATTTAGTCAACCATTCCTGAAAAATTAGGTTTGCTCATAAACAAAAATGAAGTAGCAAGGCCAAGATTAGAAAAACAACAAGAATGTTGTATTAATAACTAAAATCCAAGACTATATTAGGTATCAACATTGTACAGTAAAGGAGAACTAATTATATGTTGCTTCCTAATGGTCAATGTCTGATATTCCCACATCCCCAAAATCTAGTTGATGAGATAAATAAAAAGAACTTTTCTTTTTCTTCAGAAGAGAGTAAATGGGAATGTATGGCTTAGTCTTTAGAAATTTCAGCCACTGGGGGCGCCTAGGTGGTGCAGGTGGTTAAGTGTCTGACTCTTGGTTTTGGCTCAGGTCATGATCTCAGGGTGGTGAAATCAAGTCCCACATCAGGCTCCTAGCTCAGTGTGGAGTCTGCTTGAGTTTATCTCTCCCTCTCCCTCTGCCCCTACCCCCCACCTCTCTAAAATAAATATATCAATGAAAGGAGAGGGGAGGGGAGGAGAAGAAAGGGGAAGGGAGGGGGAAAACTTTCAGCCACTACCCTCTAGTGTGAAATCCATCTTGCCTAGCAACAGATGCTTAAGTTGACAAAAACAAAATGGATTTTCTATCCCTTTATACTATCTACGACAGCAGCAGTACAGAAAGCTCTTTTCTTTTTTGCCCTAAGGGATTTCTTCTTTTATATCCAAGTCTCATTACTAGAGAAAATTTTAGATTAATGAGGAAGCAGAGCAAACGTGTCTACAGAGAGTCCAAACCAGTCACTCACTTTCTCTGCAAGGGCCTCCTCCAAAGTTGTCAAGGCTGTGTCGGTGTTGGTAGTGTCAGCCTGCAAGGATTTGACTCGTTCTTTCAAGCTGCTCATTTGCTTCTCCTTATCTCTAAGTTGCTCTTGAAGATTTTCAATCTAAGTGTGGGGGAAAAAAAGGAAATTAAGAGAAGTATAAATAGTCACAATAAAAATCATTTTAAGTTGGAAACAGGTAGACCAGGGTTGTCTCTGAGTGTCTGTTCCATAAAAATAATTTAATACTAAGGGTTTCAGAACTGCATGCAAAATTTTCAAGACAGAACTTACAGGTAGAACACAGAAAAGACACACATGTAGCTATGGACATATATGCATATACATAAATGTCTAAAAAAATAAGGGAAGTAGCTAGAGAGAAAAGAGCCAACATATAGAGATGGGATTGAGAGAGGAATATAGGGAAGACACAAGAAATGGGATTACTTCAATAATGACACTGTAAATCACTTCACAGTGAAATGAGGATTAGAACAAGACAGCAAGAAAGACAAATCAGCTGTATAAAGAAAAACTGTTCTTAAATGCTAGTGTTAAAATATATTTTTATATCACCTTTTATCTAAATATGAAGCATTTTCAATGAAATTCCTTCTTGTAGTTATTCATTCCTTCATACACATCTGTAATGCGTTCATTTACTCAAAGAAATATTTATTCAATTCTTTACGTTACCAGGCACTAGTTGTACAAAGAATAATGAATAGACCGATTTTTATTATGTTGTAAGATGGTAAGAGAACTCACCATTATGTAGCTGAGCACAAATTTTATTCTAGAGAGATGGCAACCATTAGGTATTTTTAAGCAAAGAAATGGTCTGGTCAGTTCTGCATTTTAGATAGATAATTCTGATGGCTGTGGAGAAAAATTTAAGGGGACTTGCATAGAGACATGGAAAATAGAGTTTATCAATTCAGGTAAGAGATACTGAAGATTAAAAAGCTAAGAGAGATGGAAAAGAAGGGGTGGGTTTGAGAAACATTATAGAGATAGCATGTTATCATGGGAGATTAAAATACATATATGAAAAACACTGAGAAAAAAATATGAAGGAATTGTAGAGAGATAGTCTTAATAAACTAAAAGAAAATAAGGCAATTACTGTAGAACTCACAAACTCCATTCATTCATTCAACACATACTTGAGCTCTTGCTACGTGCCAGAAACTTTTCTAGGTGTTGAGAATATAGAAAAAATCAAAACAGACAAAAATCCCTATCCTCAAAAAGATAACATCCTAATACAGCAGACAATAAATCAATGAAATAAACACAGTATGTAAGATGGCGATAAGTTCTATAGAAAAAATTAAGCAGGAGAATATAAATGAGTCCCCTCTTGAGCTAATACTAGAGCTAGCTGGTCTATTTTACATGGCTTTCCAAAAGCAACATAAATGTTATCTCCTTTGAAAAGATTTCCTTGCTCTTACTTCTATGAGAAGAAAATGCTCTTTGTACTCTATCACACATGTAAGTGTTATATATACATACACACACTCCATTCTTTCATCTATCTATATGTTTACCACCTTTATCTTTATTTATCCCATCTATATGTACATTATAACACTAATCCCTGACCATATTGTAATTCTTCGTCTGATACATGTCTCCGTAAGACTGAATCCTGCCCCTCTACCCCAGTTTTCTATCTTCATATCTGGCACACACTAAGTGTATAATAAATATCAGTTCATTAATCAGTAAATGAATAATAGATAAGCTTGGACTTTTAGAAACTGTATTTAGGCATACACATAAACTCCTGCCAAGAATGGAACTACAAAAGAATCCTAGATACTGGCTAAAAGACACATGAAAAATGCTCAATATCACTCATCATCAGGGAAATACAAATCAAAACCACAATGAGATACCAACTTACACCTGTGAGAACGGCTAAAATTAACAACAAAAGAAACAACAGATGTTGGTGAGGATGCAGAGAAAGAGAACCCTCTTAACACTACTGGTGGGAATGCAAACTGGTACAGTTACTCTGGAGAACAGTATGGAGGTTCGTTAAAAATAGAACGACCCTGTGACCTAGCGATTGCACTACTAGGTATTTACTCAAAGGATACAAAAATATTGATTCGAAGGGGCACATGCATCCCAATGTTTATGGCAGCATTATCTACAATAGCCAAATTATGGAAAGACCCCAAATGTCCATCATCTGATGAATGGATAAAGAAGATGTGGTATATATGTTCAATGGAATATTACTCAGCCATCAAAAAGAATGAAACCTTGCCATTTGCAGTGATGTGGATGGAGCCAGAGTGTTTTATGCTAAGAGAAATTAGTCAGTCAGAGAAAGACAAATACCATATGATTTCACTCCTATGTGAAATTTAAGAAATAAAACAGATGGTCATAGGGGAAAGGAAAACAAAGAGAGAGAAAGAAAGGCAAACCATAAAAGAGTTTTTAACTATAGAAAACAAACTGATGGTTACCAGAGGAGAGGTGGGTGGGGGGATGGGCTAAATGGGTGATGGGTATTAAGGAGGGCAGTTATCATGATGAGCACTGCATATTGCATGTAAATGATGAATTACTAAATTCTACTCCTGAAAATATTACACTATATGTTAACTAACCAGAATTTAATAAAAACTTGAAACAAAACAAAAATGAAAACAAAAGTCTAGATACAACGTTCAGATAACTTCTGCATTAATCAATTTAATATAAGCTCATTAGGAACTCCCTCATTCTACAGGGAAAGAGAAAAAGTCTCTCTAGAGTCAATAAGAATTCCACAAGAACAAATAAGCTCTGCAAAAAGATCTGGTAAATTTAGAATAAGATACCATAAATACTGCGTAAGGCTTAGATTTTTATTCTTTAACAATGAAATAATCAGACAGGCAAACCACTAAAATGCCTGAAATGGGCTCCAGTCTTTTCAATGCCATTAAAAGTTTAAAAGCTACTGTCAGAGAAAAGACCATCACAGATGAAAATCATTAGTCTTCCTTTAATCAGACACGACTATTAGAATCTCATATGGATCAATACTTAGGTAAACTCACAACCACTAAAGAGACTTTTGCCACTCAAAAATCTAATAATCCATATACAGAGAATGTAATGCCCTGGTTTTTACAGGTTTAACCAGCTACGCATGTCACTCCAGTTGCTAACATATAAGCCTTATTAAGCAAAGAAAAGATAAAATCACACTGCCAATTAGACTTTCTTGTCAAGAAAGGAAAGTACAAGAGCCATTTTTTAAAATGAAATTTCACAGAACCAACCAAGTTTGACATACAAGAAAACATTTGTTTTAGGAGCCCACCTAATATACAAATAGCCCTTACACGCATCATAAGGATAAAACCCTTCTTTCCGCCCCCCAAGTCATCATCAGCATCTAAGAAGGAAATTAAGTTAAACTGCTAACAATACCACTCATATAATTTATATGTAGTCACATTATTAAAGGAATCCATTCTTCTTGGCGGGCAAAAACTTTTCATAATATACTCAGGTGCAGAAGCTGCTAAACTTGGTAAAATCCCCATTAACAAGTTCTCCCTAAGCTACCTTCTTTTTCAATTACCCAGCTGTCTAAACAGATTGTTGAGTTGGAGGGGAAGAAAAGGATGGCTATTCACTTCTAAAGAGGAGGAATAAACATTCCATAGTGAAAAGAACTGACAAAATGAAGGACAGTGGACAGTAAAATTGCCTCTTTTGGGCAAGTTGCCATCAGCAAGGAAGACCTGAAATAGACACAGATATGTGCAAACTAGCCACGTAAGCACTGAATAAACCCTAAAGATGCTGTGTGTGGTATGTGGGAGGAGGAGTGTGTACAAAACTACTTGTCTTTTAGTTTACCCAGCAACATGATGGATAACATGAGCCCTACTGAGAGCTGCTGTTACACATCCTCACTATGGTTGTGATTCAAAATCATGCTCTTAACTAATGTTGACAATGTAAAAGCTTATCATCCAGAGAGTGTCATATCATGGCATTTCAGTACTTATTATGCAATTTCTATAAAATATACAGTTTCCTATTTCTACACTAAATTCAATTATCCACAGGATCTAAAATAAATGATTTACAAAAAGCTTTGACTACAATACCCAAGAAAAAAACTGGATCAGTTGTGCACAAACTTGAATGTGAACAATAAAAATGATTTAGAATGTTAAGTGGAAAAATACTCCTTTAAAGATGCTTGGGCTATCTGCAAAAAATAAAACCAAAAAACAAAACAAAAAAACAGAACAACAACAAAAAACCCCCCAAAACCCCTCTCCATTTTGTAGGAACAGAAACCACAGAATCCCTAAAATAACAATATAAGAATAAAAATAATGGTGGTGGTGGTGAGGAGGAGGTGGTGATAACAGGTGATAACTAACACTTAAAAAGAATACTGTATTCTCACGGGGCACCTGGGTGGCTCAATGGGTTAAGTATCTGCCTTCGGCTCAGGTCATGATCTCAGGGTCCTGGGATCAAGTCCCGCATCCGGCTCTCTGCTGAGCAGGGAGTCTGTTTCTCCCTCTCACTCATTCTCTCTTCCCCACCTCCTCCTCTCTCAAATAAATAAATAAAATCTTAAAAAAAAAAAAAAGAACACAGTATTCTTTTTAAGTCAGGCATTGTTATAAGAACTTTATATATAACAACTATTTAAGCATCACCAGAAGACTATGAAATAATTACTAGGCAATCTACCTCTAGAATCCTACTCTTAATCACTATGCTATAAATATGTTCTGTAATGAAAAAAAAACTAGAAAAGACAATCATACCAATGACTCAAGCATCTTTACATAAACTATCTCCTATTTTTAAATACTGTTTGCCTAATAAACATAGTACATTTTACTATGGTCACTTATACTAAAATAGTATCCCCTACTGAAGCAAAGAATGAAGGGTGAAGGTACCAAATCACTGCAAATGCAAAAGTGAATCTTCCATGGAAGGAACATATATCCACTCAATACACTCAAGCTAGTGGGCAGAGCCAAACACACTTGATAATCAGGATTTCAGTATCATGATATTATTAAAGCAGTCTGTGTAACCTGACTTCCAAGGGCTAGAAAGAACCTAGT